GAAAAACAAGCCAACCGACTCGGGTGCACCCCAGCGCCAGGTTTGAGCTGCCAATTTGATAACATATTCTCTTGTCTGTCGCAGTCGGCGCCGTGGGCCGGTCATGTTATGCATTTCTTGAAATGCCCTAAGTGCAACAAGGAGTACGACAAAGCTCAGCATTTCCCCAAACTAGTGATCCCGTGCGGGCACCCCATTTGCCTCAGATGTGTACCGCTGCTCACGAAACTACGGATCTGGAAATGCCCAACGTGCGCTCTGGTGAGTCTTTGTCAATGAGAAATAAATAAATGTTTGCTAATCGACTTTAGCGGTTTATGTACAAAATACAGTGCCAGTGGATGTAGTACCGGGTGTAACAGTGAATGCCCAGCAGTGTTGCGGGTTTGCCTACCCAATTCGCCCGTAAGGCGCCATGGCCCCCTGCTGCCCTGGCGGGTATGCCTGCAATCCCGCAACACTGCTGCGCATTCACTGTTACACCCGGTACAATACAGCCAAAAAAATTGATGAGAAAGTAAAAGTAAAGTTAGTGAGGAATTTGAGAGTGTATCATCTGCTAATAAATAATTGATGTAATTGACTCAAATTTTCTTTGAGCAGGAATACAGAGGCCTCTACGTCTCACCACCCAACAACATCTCGATGGCGCAGTTGCTGGACAATCTCCAGGGCCTCAGAAGCGGGTCCTTGAACTTAACCCTGCGGCGCGGCGACAGCGTGCTGGTGTACAAGAGCCTGCCGAACATCAGGACTCCTCAGATTGAAGCGCTCTTGGTTTCCGTGGCGGCGAGGGGTCAGCTGCAAAAGGTACACCTTTCACCTTTAAAAATGGAGTGGGTGTTAGGCTCGGTCGTCGGCTGTATTCGCGCCTGACACGTGACACGGTTGTATCTAATGGATCTGATCTCGCCGATGTTACCGCGGGCGGCGCGGCGTTTAAAAAAGTCTACCGGGGGCGGCGAGCAGAGAGAACAGAATCTTTTCAAGTTTCTAGTTTCTAGTTATCTCTGGCGGCGAGTTCCGCGGCGCAGACTAGGGTCTGGCGGCGTGGCGTAGCGTGGATCGTTGGGGTCTCCGCCCAGGATCCACGCTACGCCGCCAGCCAGACCCTAGTCTGCGCCGCGGGGCTCGCCGCCAGAGATAACTAGAAATTAGAAACTTAAAAAAGATTCTGTTCTCTCCGCTCGCCGACCCCGGTAGACTTTTTTAAACTGAATATAACACAAGGGTCGCGGAGCCGGAGCGGAGCTGCCAGTCTGATAACATGTTTTCTGTGGTCTGTCGTTAATCGCAGCCGCAGTCGGGGCCGAGCGCCGGTCGTATGTCGGATGTTATGCAATGCCCTAACTGCTGGAAGGACTACGACAAAGCTGTGCATTTTCCCAAAATAGTTACACCGTGTGCGCATCCCGCATGCCTCAGGTGTCTGTGGAATTCGGAACAGAAATGCCCGACCTGCGGTTGGGTAAGTTTTTGTCTGCAAAATCAGTTTGCTCAGGTGCAAACTACTGCGATGATTGGGTATTACACGATATAGTTAATAAATTTGCTGAGCTTCTGACAAATTGCACTGCTGCTAGCTAACAGCACTGCCACTGTACTGCTAAAATTTTGGCATCAGTGCTCAAATGAATCTGGATTCCTATGTTACATTCTTGTAGCATTTAATCTTAAAGATATTGACTCTGCAGTAATTCAATATAATTTTTCTGCAGGAATTCAATGGCAGCGCGAAATGGCTGCCCAAGAACATATCTGTGATGCAGTTGCTGGACAATCTCTATGGCCTCTGCGACATGCCAGTGAGCTTGACCCTGCAGGGTGAGGACGGCGTGCTGCTATCCAAGGACCTGCCCAACAGCGGGGATCCCCTGATCAAGGCGCTCTTGGTCTTCGACGGGGCAACGCCGAAAAGGAAAGGAAAAAAACAAAAGGTAGTTTTTGAAGTGCACCTTACAACTTAATGGCGCTGAATGGACCCCTTTTAATATTCTCTATGACTCTCAACAAACACACACGCACCCGGGTACCTGATTCCTCCGGGTATGAGCCGGGCACTCGGGTGCGCGGGAAGAAGTACACCCCAAATGTCAAGGGACGATTTTGTTCCTAAAAATTACGGCAACTTTTTCGTTTACGGGCAGAAAGGATGCAATTTTGTCCTTAAAACTGGACAAATTGTCTTAAGCTTGCATGCTTTCGGGATTTGCACAAAAACGTTCCCTTTTGTGTCCCTTAGCATTTAGTGTATATTGCCCCCTTTTATTCTCCGATTATCGACAACATATCGTCATTTCGCAGGTCAAACTGCCAAAAGACGCAGCAGCTCAGCTGGCAAGGGCTCAACCGGCAAGGGCTCAGCCAGAAACGGCTCAGACAGCAACGGGTCTGACGGCAACGTCTCAGCCTGCTAAGGGTCAGACAGCAACGGCTCAGCCACCAAAACAAAAGGTAGTTTTTCAAGTGGCGCTTTAAAAATTTATGGACCCTTTTTTATTATTCGCTGTTGGGTTCTCAACAAAAACGCTTACCTGGGTACCCGATTCCTCCGCGTATAAGTAGGGTACCTAGGTACGCGGGTAGAAATATATGAGCCCCTCTTTATAATGGATTATATTCCTTCGATTGTCGACAACATCGTAATTCCGCAGGTCAAAAAGGAACGTAAACGTAACCAGCCAAAAGACGCAGCGGCTCAGCCAGCAACGGCTCAGCCAGCAACGGCTCAGTCAGCAACGGCTCAGCCGGCAACGGGTCGGATGGCAACGGGTCAGCTGGCAACGGGTCAGCCAGCAAAGGGTCAGCCAGCAACGGCTCAGCCACCGAAACAAAAGGTAGGTTTTCAAGTGGCGCTTTTAAACTTTATGGACCCTTTTTTGTTCGCTGTTGGGGTCTCAATGAAAACGCTTACCTGGGTACCCGATTCCTCCGCGTATAAGTCGGGTACCCAGGTACGAGGGTAGAAATATATGATTACTGTTACTGTCACTGATCGGGTAGGCCAACCCGTGGCGTATTGCCATTTCAGACGGTACTGTTCTCCTCTAGGATCGGCTGGTGCATGTGCGGTGTGACCTGCACCCCGAGACGAGCCTGGGCCTGCTGCAGATCGCCTCGCCCTCCGTCGTCGAGCTGAGTCTGGTGAACCCCAACGCCGAACACCTGAGCGAAGTGCAGAACATGCCGCACCTCAGGAGGCTGTCCGTGCACGGCTTCGATGCGAGCAGGGGCCACATGCCGCTCATCTCTCTCGCGCGCAGGCAGCTGCGGTGGCTCAGAGTCCGCGACCTGCAGGACGAGGCGCTGCGGAGGCTGCTGACCGCCTACACCCCGCCCTTCTCGGACGCGCTGGAAGAGCTCCAGCTCTGGGTCAACACGGCGCCCGTGGCGCTGCAGAGGTGGGAGACTTGCTGCAACACGCTGCTCAGCCTCGTCTACAAGCTGGACCTGCAAGAGCTGAGGAAGCTCGTGCTCAAGTGGGGTCTGTCTCACCCCCACGACAAGAACGACTGCGCTGCCATTCTCTGCAATCTCCAGGAAGAAATGCCCAAGACGGAAATACTATGCCTCGATTGTGGGACTTGGGGAGCCTTCTAGGGAAGTGCAGCTTGGCGGTGCAGCTCAAGATCAGGGAGACCAGTCAAAACCAGTGCAGCCATAAGACTGAACAATATGTATAGAATACTTGTAAATTCATTTTGAAGGGAAAGATTGACGGGGAAACGTCACATATTTCGTGCACACGGAAAGTTTGTTTATTTTTTACCTTTCCAATAAAAGGTCATTTCGTGTACATAATCTGTCTTATACATTGCAGTGACGCCATTTTAATCAGGGCCTGGACTTGAAGCGGCAGAAGCCCTTCTTCTTTGGCGGGGGGGGGGGGCATGGACCTTTGCATGAATACAGCACCCTACCATTGGTTACCCTGTTCCGCCTGGAGCGAAGGTGGGCGAAAGCCTGCTGGCAGAGCACGCCACGTATTAGCAAAGGGGCCCACGAGACTGCCCCGTGCAGCCTAGTGAGCTCTCGTAGCGCCTGATGGGTAGGCAATATCCAGCCCGCGGCGCATGCGTGTACTGCGGGCTGGCCTACCCCGAGCCTCGCAGGCGCCGACCTCCCGCAACGTGCGACCTCTTTGTTTGTAGCCACACCCACACACAGCTGTCGCTGCAACCGGCACGGCCACGGGCAGCTTTATCAGAACCGAGAATGTTCACGCCCCTGGCCCCCTACCCGGACAAAAATTAAAATTGGGGGGTGTTCTTTCCTCATCCTACCGCAGTCTTTGGTGACTTCTGTGATCGCGGGAACAGCCGCTTCCTTCCACAGTGGTCAGAACATACTCCCCGGGGTTTGTGAGACGGTTGACGCGTACGTTGATTAAACTGTACCGACCTACTACAGGTCATGGAGCTCCTTTAAAGCTAGATTCTAGGTCTTATTAGTGCACTCGCCACCACAGCAAGGTGCCAGGCACCAGGGAACAGGGACGTCCCTGTTTGTAGCTACACGATTGTAGTCAGGCCCGGACTGGCCAGGGGTGCTAGGATGCGCTAGCATCTGGGGCCCCGCGCCATCGGGGGCCCCGACAATCCGGGTTCTTGTCGGGGCCACGCCCGGGGCCAGGGGCCTTGGGGGAAATGTCCAGGAATTTTACTCAAAACCGCTCGTTTTGTCATGAAATATCGAAAAAATCCTTGCTCGCTTTGCTCGCAGTTGTCTTTGGCGGTTTCCCGTAATGCTTCCAAAATTAAAGCGGAAGACCGAAAGACGTCTACAGGTGGGTGGCAACGCAACGTTGTCAATAGGGTCTACTACGTAACATAATACCCGCATAATCCCTAAAAACCGGTCTTCAAGCTATAAGATGTCAAAAATTCTCGCCTGCTTCGCTCGCTGGAGTTTGCTGCCGCAGCAAACCTGAATATTCCGAAGACTTTTTAGTTTTTTGAAAAAGGGGGGGGGGGCGGTAGTTCCAGTTTTGGGGCCCTTCATGTGACGTGGCACCCGGGGCCCTTACCCTCCCAGTCCGGTCCTGATTGTAGTTACAGCCGACAGTGCCCGAGTCAGCTTAAACTGAACCGTCTATAGAAGAATTCATTACTTCCGCCAATGCTAGAATATCAACCGGA